GGGGGGGCATTGAAGACATTCGGAAGTCAGGCTGGACAGGGATGAATCATTGACGGATTAGTTGTATAGTCCCTGGAAAGCTTTGAGTCTCCGTAAGTTGTGAATTGGGTCAGCGGGAAGAGAGAGAACTACTTTGGCGCTGTTGTCAAGGCCACAAGAAAACTTGTGATTAGTTCAAAGCGTTTTGCATTTCTCAGGTAAACGTAAAGTCAACGTTTAAAATGCAAAGAGTAATGTTGTATAATACGGTGAAAATGGTACAGTTTCTGTCGACATATCGCGACATGCTACGGTGAACCAAGTATCGAAAGTAAGCAATGAAATGTACAAACAGCATTACTGATAATTTTCCGAGAAAAAAGCTTATTTGATCTTTTATTTAGATTAGTCTAGATCTACTAAACTTTGGACTTTTCTGCACAAACCTGGGCACCTAAGTTGTTGCCGCACTTGCCAACTTGAAGATGGACAATCTCTCTCATGATTACTGACTGTTGTTGATGACAACGTTCACCAATAACTGTCTCTACCTGGCACAATGTCGCCACCCCTGCCCCAACGTTGCGATGTCCACAGTTTCATGAACGTTGTCAGACCATCACGGGATGCCCCCTGCCAAGACAAGGATCCACACGAAGGCTGTGGAATACTGCTGATGAACAGACGCCTTTCCCGAGCACCGATTTGCACTTTATGACAACATATAAGAAGGAAATATTTTATAATGTGGCCACTGTACGAGAGAGGTGCGCATTTCGTTTTAAATTAATGTTGCAACTGATTTTTAAAAGCTGTTGTTGTTGTTGTTGCTGTTGAGGTTATTGTTGTAGTTGTCGTTGTTGTTGGTGTTGTTGCTGATGCTGTTGTTGTTGTTGTAGTTGTTGTTGTTGTTGTTGGTGGTGGTGGTGGTGGTGGTGGTGGTGGTGGTGCTGTTAATTTTGGTGGGGGTAGGGAAGTGACAGTGATGTAATGTTGCCATTTTTTTCATGGAGATGGGGATGGGGAAGTAGGTTGCTCTTCACCAATTTAAAAAGATAATTATGAAAGATTCAGAACGGTTTGCTGGTTGTTCTAAAAATGCAACCACTTTCTGAAAACCCAAAATTCCGTTGATGTTCTTTGCTGCTGCTTCATCAAATACAGTTTCTGTTTAATTCCAGGGGCGAAGGCTGACTTGTTTGACAGGGTAATCAAAGTGAAACGGGACCAGATAGGGCCTGGAGATATCACACAAGAATC